TCCTTCCTTCCTTCCGCCTCCACACTGAATCCCTCTGCTATGGATGTGAATGATTATATTGTTAAATTATTTTCATATTCTTCATATTCATGAGAACATTGTAAAGGATCGAGAACACATTAACTAGGAGTCTAAAAATGACATTTCTACAAATATAATTTGTAAAATGGCAGAGGAAGGTCATGGAAAGTCAAACAATTTTACATCTAACTCACCATACCGTGGTTCACTTACTCTTATGGCATCCAGCTGATTGTCAGAAAGGCCTTTAATTAGTCCTGTCAGAAAAGGTTAAGGATAGAATGGAAAGTTTTAAAAAAAAAAATGGAAGGAAAGGGCTTAAGGAGCACAGTGGGAATAAGAGATTTTCTAAATGGCTTTATTTGTCAAGGAGAAAAAAGTGAATTCAACAAAGCAATTAATCTCAGACTGGCACTGCAGAACAGCAAGATTCACTCCAACTGAACATCTTGCCCCATTTGAACAATTTCTACATCTAATGATCTTTATATTTACTTGATTGATGCTTAGATGCTCAGATTTATCTGATTATTGTAAGTATAACATCTGAAACAAACACAGAGGTTTTTTGTTTTTAAAATTCAGCTCACACCTATAATAGAAATCATGTTTTACATTTAGTTGTTGCCAGAGGCTGTTTGAAACTCAATGAAAAGATAGAAATTCCTGTGCATATGTATGCACGTATAGGATTCTAATGGTTATCTGGGAGAAAAAAAAAACATTTTGGGAGATAGAAAACCTGAGAATGAAAAGTAGAAGCATGCATTCAAATATGAAATTATAAACAAAGTCTTTTTTGCATCTTTCTGACTTACTGGTGCTTTTAGCTACTGTCCAAATGGTAAACATGACCATGATCATCTCATTCATGCAGCACCCAGATATTCCCCACATCATGGCAGACAATGTCATGGTATTACAGCTGTTGTCATTTATTTTCAGGATTAAAACAGGAGTTGTTATAAACTTACATTGACTTTGGTGTTTATGGTTTTTAGATGTCAGTGCCAGTCCAGGAAACTGCAAAAAAAAAAAAAAAGACACACAGGACACAGAGATGACCTGCAGCTTCCTTTGGAACATATCTTGTGCATCCTTTCAAACATCTTCTGGGACTCATTATATTTCATGCAGACACTCATACATGCAAAGCTTATATAAAAACACACAGAAGGACTGAGGCTATGGTGCCATCTGGTGGATTCTTCTGGTTTTATGAGCTCAGATTATCAGAATATACAGAAAGAAAACAACATTTGCTCCTAAAGTAGAGTAGTACAAAAGTTACAATACCAGACTATCAAAAGAGACAGCCCCATATAGTTACTTTATTACTTCCATCAAATACAATCTACAGTAAAGCGAGTGGAATGTTTAAATGTAGGATTTTGGCGTCCTCTGGTGGAGAGAGAAATAAAGTGCACTTCTCTGCCTTAAACCTTCAGGTTTCTGGTTTTAATTTATCCAAAATTATAACAGCGTGAGATTTATTTACCAAATTTATTATCTGTTTCTTTATAGACACGGTTTTGGAGGAAATTGCAATTCATAATTAATGTTAGAAGAGTCATTTGCCACCATCAAACTACACCTGAGTCATTCTAGAAATGGAGAATTTTCTAATTTTCTATTTGAAACTTGAACTCAGCTCCTAAACACAGCCTCAAACCAATCAACTGCTTTCAGTTGATTGTTTTATTTAGTTTAAGGCTTTACTGTGGAGTTGGTGCTAAAGGCTTGCTCAACCTCATGAACCTTCCTACTCACTTATTATCAGTCAGTTTGAAGGTTGACTGAAGTTTACCTGGTGAATCTCCAGAAGATTTCAAACTCTACACATATATGAAAAATCCCCCACCCTCCACTATCGCATTCAATAGATGGCATTAGGGTTTTTTTTGTTGATAAACTGTTAAAGCCGTGCATTGTGGCCAAAAACTTGCATTTGATTTTCTAGAGGATATTGTTTTAGAAGGCTTGTGATTAATTTAGTTGGGGTTTCATCCTGGCAAATAGCTACTGAATTATCCTGTTGTTGAGCCTGTTAAAGACTGGGATGGAGGTTAACTTCTGCCATCAACTTACCGGTACAATAAACATACAGGCAGATTTAGAACATGATGGTTCTAATGGCTTAATAAAGGTTTAGATTTGGGTTAAGGCTTGAAAGGAAGCTTTGAAAGTTTTCCATCAAATTTAACAACTTGAATAGTTTGGAAAAGGATGATGAAAAAAATAATTTGTTTATTGGTTTGCTTCACTGATAGCTGGAAATCTAAAGATTAAAAGACTTTCAAGCTCCAAATCAGCAATAGGTCTTATGTTTATTTTTTGTTTTGTTTTTCCAACCCTTAATCTGAATTGTATTTTTGACTTAAAATGCAATTCCATACATTTACAAATGTAATAAAAGTCCACCAGAGTCAGTTTTCAAATACATAATAGTGAAAATATTTAATAAGCTTCCTGCCAATCCTGTCTTCTTGATTATGTGCTGCATAAAAGTTACAGCTGTATTATTCTGCAGCATTTGACCAAGAGGTTATGAAGTTATTTGAAATACAAGAAAAACTGTTCAAATCACATATTTGGTAGACTGTTGCTAGTTGCTTAATTTTCTCATTGTACGGGACTTATAACCAGGAGTGGGTAATATATGTTCAGTATTAAAGAGCCTGTATATTAGGACCAATAATTGTATTTGTAACTCCATGGCTTTGATAACCTTGAAAGCCTTAAAACAGTGATGTCACAATCCAGTCTTTAAGATGCAGCTGCGCTTCAACACACCTGGGCCCAATTAGCCCATTAGAAGAGCTCAGCACAGTGTGACTGCATGTTAGTGAGGTCTTTTATCAATTGGATTCAGGTGTGTAGTGCAGGGGACACTTCTTAAAGTTTTAGACTGCTGAATTAGCAGCACCCAGTTAATTGTGTAGGAATAAGGTCGCCTAAGCAGGGTTTTTATTTTCTGAGGCTGGGTTTACTCATCTCATCATGTTGACTCCAAACATTGGGACAGTTTTATGAAACAGATTAAACATTCTTATTAGCTACAGATTAATCCATCTGGTGGGCATACATATAAAAAAGCTGCACCAAGAAACCTTTTTTTAATATTTAAACTAAAAGGAAAGTTGGCCAATAACATAGCCTTGGGGTACACCAGTATTAACACCGATCATATATTATCAGTTATCACCAATGTGTCTTTTTAAATAATGAATTTTCCCTCAAATACATAAAAAAAGATATTACCATAAAATGTATATTTATTGGATCACTATTAATAATTATTTTTCACTGCTTGCTTAACTAAAAGGTTGAACCTTTTGAAATAAATCCATAAATATTCAGGATGCACTTCAAGAGTAAAGCGTTACGTATCGGTTACAGTCTTAAGAAAAAAATATTTAACTAAAGATATTTTCTAACACATATAAATGCTAAAAAGTCTTATTTTCATTTTAGAGATGTCAGAGCGTGAACCTTGAGCCATGTCAATACAGTTTTCTTATACAAAGATTTCAGGCTTTTTAAAGGTATTGTGGAGGATTTTCGCAAATTTTTTAAAAGACCCACCCTCTTTAAAAAAAAAAAAATGCAGGTGCGGGAGCATGCATGAGCCCATTTCTCCCTGTGCACGCCCTGTTTAAAAGTTGCTGTTTTCATAGCTTGTATAATCTTACTGTTCCCGAACATCTGCTCTAACCCATAAATACCTCAATCACTATGTAGAGCGGGAGAATATATAGTGGACTTTATAGCGAACTCAGTTAACTTACCGTTAGGACAGATGATCACTGCTTTTTGCTCCTTTGGTCACCTAACTCCTCCTTCACTGCGCGGTGCCTGCACCATCTTTATTAGTCGCCACTCCCATAATGCTTTGTGTGGAGAGCTCTCTGCACAAAGCATTCTGGGATATATCTGCATCTTCTTGTTCTCATACTCTTAGTAGATACTTTTTTTCCTCTCACGACCCTCTGCAATTTTTAAAGAACTGCTGAGAGAAAGGTGAATTTCAACGACTGCAACCGTAGCTCATCCCAGATATACGCCTGAAAGTGCACATGCACAGAAAAAGATAGCTATAACGGAAAAGCATGTAGGACGGCCTTACGTAAAAATATCACAGGAGTGATCGACAACTAGGAGGACCAGTTCTTTAAATGATTCACCCGGAAATAAAAGATCCTTACCTTTAAAGTTTGAAGGGATATTTGGGATGTGTTTACAGTAATTAAGACAACATTATTAGGATACTTTATTCTCAACAGAAGAAAAAAAAAACAAATTACATTTTTCAAATTATTTTTTATTGATCTTTAAAAAAAAAAGCTACAAAAGGATAAAATAAAAACATGATGTGCGGCTGGTAATCAACCCCAAATCACACACTCATACTGTTTGTGTTTGTATCGTATTCGTACCTTGTGCAAGTCATAGCCTTTACATCTGTGCATTATGTAACTGCTGTCATGTGTAGAGTTTAAGGCACTGAACTACTTTCCTGTATTTCCACTTTGTTAAAAAAAAAAGCTGCAAAAAAGTGGCACGCAATTTACAAAACAGTATAACACACACCAAGACTGATTCCACGAAACCATCAATGTAATATTCTAAGCACAAGCTTCTATCTGCACATTAAAAGCAATAAATAAGAAAAATGTTTGTCCCCTTTCTGCATTTTTACAGCAAATCTCTGACTAGCAATGACTACAATAGTAAGATATGACATTTTGTTTTTACAGTTTAATAAAAAAAAAAGAGTTTTTTCCCTCCAGTCTTTAAAAAAATCAAATAAGGGTATCAAAAATGTGTATAAAAACTAACAACAGTCAGTGGAGTAACTGAACAGTTTTGAACCATAAATTAACAGTAGTCCTATGCCATTACCCTTCTTTATTACGGTACTTGCAAGAATCAAGTAATTTGTTTACAATACAATAAGCTGGATGCAATTAAACATGAACAATTTCAAGTCTTTACTATTTGAGCTTATGCTAATTTTTAAGAATAAAAAAAGAAGGGAACAGGTGGCAGGATGAGGAGACAATGTGTAACAGAAGAGAAAATTCAAAATAAAGCCGTCGCTTTATGTTTTCCCATGGGCCAGCAGGGGGAAGTCTTACTTCAAATATCTGCAACCATGACAAGGCATTTGCATAGCTCATCTTGACTTCATACATCAGATACTTAGATCAAGCTGGAATTTCAGGTCAGTACAGGACAGGATAGGACAGGACATGCATTCCTAGGAGACTGGTAACTAACAGAATAATGATGGAGCGTGTCGTATATTGGGCATGGGTTGCATGACCATGACTTTTGTGAAGTATTAGTAAAGACTTTGGAATGTAAAATTGAGTCATGGAATAGGGACATATAACGACATTACAGACTTTATGGAGTTGCCTAGAGACAAGGGATTATTTTTCCTTTGAAAAACTAAGTTCAATTTGGAAACATGTCCATTAAAACAATTGCATTTACTGCTCAGGCTGGCTAATAGAGATTTTAGAAGTAAAACGTTTTCCTAAATATCCACATTTTTTTTTTTTATTAAAAGCTAGTTAACAGAAATTTGTTGGCAAATACTCTTTAGAGGGGTTTTGTCTAGAGTGCCACCTTCTCTAAATAGAGTAATTGAATTTTCCCACCACACTACAGCTTATTTACCACACCTCAGCCAGCTTTGGTAAATAAAGTATTTAGCATAGCTCTAATTAACACTGTAAAATACATAATTTGATCACTATGGACATGTAAAAAAAATCCCACATGCGTACCGCTGTTATAGCATTTGCGTAACAGCTAATCAAATATCAATCATAAATAATAATCAACATAAAATCTGACATTATGCAAAAGCTGTGGAAGAGGATCCACTGACCTAATCTAAAGTAAGCTTTAAAATGAGGTGAAAATGAAGACATTATCTCATTTGGGCTGTGAATAATCCGCCTCTGATCCCCATAAACTCCTACTTTTTAAACCTGCAGTACCTCATACAAACTTTAAGAGTTGATCGACAAAAAACATATGATTTCCTCATGCTTTAACCTACAAATGCCTGAAACAGAAATAGCATGTCTGGAAGTGTGATGAGCGTGACAATAGCTGAACAAAAAGATGAAAAGTATAATACTATGAAATAAACATGAGATGTTATGTTTAGAGTCTTTTTATCGTAAAACAAAAAAAAAAAAAAAGAAGAAAAAAAAACGGTGTTAAGGAGTATATAAATAAAGGCAAAAATGTTCGTTGGATCCTGTTTAAAGCACCCTTATGCTCAGTTCTGCTAAAATTCGAGAAATTGGATTAAAAGTTAACCTTTCTCCAGATGACTGAGGCGAGTTGGGATCTTTTAAATGTTTTTCTGGAATTCTTAAATAATTACTGATATTCAGGTTTGCAGAACTCACATGTAAATTAAAAAAATACAAATCTTTCCACATGAATTGAAAGCTGTATCGTTTTCTATCCTCTTTATAACATCAAACTTCTTTCTAACACTTCTACACATTGTGGTTATAATGCGACAGAAGCAAAAGAGTTTGAGGCAAATTTATACCTTATTGCATAAGCACACACAGCAGTTTGCAAGAATTTAATTGACATCTCCAGCTGGCTCGCCACGAATACCAAATAACGTTTGACAGTCCCTTGAGAGGATTTATTCATCATCGTTTTTTTGCTCTATCCGGTAGAATCTGGTCGCTAGGAGGTCCTTCACCAGATACAGAAGAACACAGCTAAATATTAGGTGTCCTAAAAGCTCAAAGCATCTGCTATTTTCACTCTCAATGATAGTTTACCTAAAAAATGTTAGATATCAGCACTTTGGTTGCTTAATGAACAGTACCCGTTTCAATCGCCTGCACCCTGGGTCCCTGAGCAAGACCCTTAACCCCACACTGCTCCCTGAGCGCCACACAATGGCAGCCCACTGCTCCCCAAGGGGATGGGGTAAATTCAAAGGTAAATTTCTTCAGTGTGAGATCTATAAACTTTCAATTACATTATTATTATTGTAAAATTTCAGGACATAAATTGTTGTACAGTTAAGGGAAAACCTGCTAAAATGGTTATGACACACCTCAGCTGCACAGTGGTGCTGCAGCTCCAGGTTAACTTGCAGTGTGCATGTGTTGTGTCCTGATGATAATGCTAACATTTGCACTCTCCTCTGCTCCAGCGCACTAATTGATCCACGGCACCAACATGTACAGAGGAGGCCACACTGAAGAGCAAACCACCTGCCTCCCTTTAGTATCTATATAACACACATCTCTCTCTATATGCAGCTCTAACAGGGCTCGCCTAAATCTGCACTTTATCCAGTCGAGTGTGCTTTAACCAGCCTAATATGAGTTTGAAATCTCAACTAAGAGGTTTCACGTAATTAAGAGAAAAAGGACTTTCTATTTAGCGTACTTTAACTGATGTAAACCCGAATATTAAAGACACATTAGGTGCTTAGGGTCCTTTAACCATTGCAGAGGAGCAAGAGTACAATCTTAAGATGGCAAGAGAGGGGATCATTTGCACAGTAGTGGATCGCGCCCCTCCCCCTCGCTAAGTGCTGCAGAGATGTGAGGGAATGTGTGTGTATGTGAGGATCTGAGCATAGGAAGAGGTGGGGGGGAAGGGGGAAAGAAAGTGTATGAGTGGAGGCAATTCCTATGGGTTAATGATGGTTAGAGATGAAACAGGGTACAGGAAATGGATAAGAGAGGTGAAGGTGTAGTGTAAGCTGGTAAAACGATGTCTGTCATATAGGAAGGTAAGGCTGGGGCTCTAACATGAGCAAATCTGAAGTTAAGTTGTTTTTTTTCTTCATGTAAACTATGGAGAGATTAAAAATCTGTCAAGGCTAAATCCTCTGAGGATTTCTATCTTCTGTGTTTTTTTTCTAAGCTGATGTGCAGGCTGTGTTATCGGGGTGGCGGCCCGTCAGGGGGTGGGGGATTGATTGCCTGTAGTGATACAGTGGTTCAACCAAAAGGCGAGTTTCTCCAGAAGTCTCCCAGGAAAGAAAAAACATGCTTCTCTTCATGTGTCATGCTTATGAGATCCGACACACAGACTGCCCTATGTTGCCACTGTACTGCTGAAGCCCCTCATGCAGCGTCTCACATATACACAAAGTTAAGAATGCACAAAAATGCATAAAGATCAGGCTTTTTGTATGCACATAGACACACATTCTCTTCTCATTTCCCTAAGCCTGAAACAGCCGGAAGTAAGAGCAATCCTCCTTGGCTTTGACCCTGAATCTAAACACTGAGAGAGAAGGACATGGGACTAGGAAGTCCATAAAAATAGGACAAGTTGTCTCTGTAGAAAAATAAAGGAATTTCCAAAGGCTGATACTTTGTCTTTGGCACTTTTGAGAAGACAGCATACGTAAAAAAAATCTGATACTAAGATTAAAAGGCCAAACTAGAACTATAGAGTAAAGCACAAGTTCATCCGCATATAAGTTTAGCCATTCCGGGGTGGACCTGAGCCTGAATAGGGCCGTATTCCACCACCTCTCCATCGACGGTGATCATGCCCTGTTGTGAAATGGGCTCTAATCTCAGGGCCCTCACTTTTTCATACACAAGGTAGGGGCAACCGCACGCTAAGTGGGAACCTTTCTCCATGGCGAGGAAGAGACGCAAGAGGGCAGGCCGGGATATTCCTGCGGTCACATAAAACAGATGAATCAGACCATCGTCTGCCATCGCTCCAGGAACCGTCCACAGGTCCTCAGCCAGGTGGGACTGGTAAATAGCCAACACCAAAACAAAGTCCTCTTCATTGACCACGGTCCAGTTGTCAGGGACCGGCTGGTCTAGGCTGGGGAGGAGAGAATCTACAGGCGATGCAGTTTTGTTGTTTCTGTGTGGCTCAAGAATGGTGTTGGTGATGACATTGGAGGATTTGGTGATGGAGTTTTGGTTTAGGTTCGTATCAATGCAATTTTTGAGAGAGCTCTTCTTTGGCGAAGCATTTGGAAGGAGGTGACAAGGTAGGGATGAACAGAGAGAGGGCTTTTTAGGGGTGGACGGAGGGTCCTTCCCACTCCCTTTTGGAGGTTTCAGGGTTTCTTTAGCAGGTAAGTACGCCAACCTGCCCTGATATACTCTGAGGGAGGCCAGACGCACCAGGGTGCCCATCAGGAAGCGGATAGCTCCCACATGACGATACTTCTCGCTCTCGATATCTACATCTGCCACGAAGCCCCAAGCCAAGGAGAGGAAGGAGAACAGACGCTGTCTGGAGGCCAAATGGACGGACACCAAGTCAAGGGAGCTAACTAGACCTTTGCACAGCATGAATCCACAGCTCAGGAGCAGCTCCTCGTTCCAGGCTGGAGGCGATCTGTTGATCATTACAAAAAAAAACAATTAAAAAAAGGTAATACAGCAATGCCAATATGCAATAATGCAGATATCTTATTTAGCATCGCCTTATTCAACTATGTAAAGACTAAACTAAACAAAGAAAAACCATTTAACCACTATTGTTACTAGTGTTGCACCGATACCAGTATCGGGCGGGGCCCCGATCCAGCACTAAATTGGTGGTATCGGTATCGGCGAGTACCAACAAATGGGGCAACGATACCATTTTGAGAGCCTAAAGTTTATTAAATTACTGTCACCCATCCAGTTAGGCAATAAAAAGTTCTACTGGATTCACTTTGTATTAGTCGTTTTGCTTCACTAAGCCATAATGGCAATTATTTTACATCCAAGTAGTATGCAGTTTTTCATATATACACACACACATCAATTTCAAACAGATGGTATCGGTATCGGCCAATACTGCACAGCCAGGTATTGGGGCCAAAAAATGGCATCGGCGCAACACTAATTGTTACCAAAAGAAAATATTCCTTACGGTGAAAAATATGTTTAAGGTATTTTTTCAATTAAACTAAACATATTCTGAATTGATCAAAGAAGAGATATTGTATGATTTAGTTCTCTATCTCAGGCAGAAAAACAACTGAACAGCCTCGTTTTCTTAGTACAATAAATATGCCACACTTACAGAGGAAATTAGGATTTTGCATTTAGGAATACTATTATTTTGAACTACCGCACCCAAGTAGCCGAGGTACCTTTTGACCTTTTACAAGAATAACTACTATCTCCACAGACAGCTTCCAAATTTCTATGTTAGACTCTACAGATTAAACGGTAACGACTACTTCCAGGTATCATGCTCAGAAAAGGCCCTTAACCCCACACTGCTCCCTGGGCGCCACACAGTGGCAGCCCACTGCTCCCCAAGGGGATGGGTTAAATGCAAAGGTCAATTTCTCCAGTGTGAGATCAATAAAGTTCAATTATTTATCATTATATAATTGTCTCCAATATAGCTTAGTCAAGAGAAACACAACCAGAGGATGTGCAAGAAGCTTTGTCCACATTAGTCAGAGTTGAATCCTGATTAGCTTGTAAAATTCAGTTCTTATACTTTTTGCTGCAAATTATCGTTTTTGGGCCTTTTTTTTTATAATATTCTCTGGGTCAGAATCAAAAATTACCTGCCAGGAGAGTTTGTGCCTCCAACTGACTTTTCCGACAGTGTACAGCTGCTGTGCAGATACTTCCCAGTCTGCTAAGCTTCTACGAACGACTGAGGAAGCACAGGAACCAAAGTTGAGGTCTGTTTAAAATTGTATCTGGACCGCAAAGTAGGCACTCTGTTAGCTGTTTTGGTGTTAGAAGATGATGGAACAAATCTGGTTAAAGCACTTTGAATTAATCTCTTTTAAGCCTCAGAGGGACAAGGAAGCTTAGGTCAGCTTTTAATGAACTAAAACTACATTATGATCATTAAATTTCTTATTCATAAAGCATTCCCTCTTGGTTATAGTAGAATTATTGTTGGTATCTCTGTTTTATATATGTTGTTTCTTCTTGCAAAATGAAATTATTAGGAATGAACATTAGTTTTACCAATAATAGATCAAATCTATTATGTTAAATATGGTTTCATTTTATTTTAATGCTATCCCTGATTGATTTGTAAAGAGTTTTGCGATGCCAAGTAATTTTTGATCAGAACAGTACAGGCAGCTTCCACATGGCGTCAAAGATTACCTTGCAAGCAAGATTCCCAAAAATGCATCATGCCAGATGCCAATAGATGCATTAGCCTAGAATAAAAAAATTTCCAATGGAACCAGAAGCACCAGCGGATGTAGCAGTAGACTCATTTAGACTTATTTAGTCTGTTTTAACTGGCATACACATCTATTTCAATTTGACACAATTTCTGCTTTTGGGGAGGAGAGAGATTTTTGCATAATCTGTATTATTCTAGGTTTCATTAAAGATGATTTCCATCTAGAAAGCTAATACCTATGCAACATCAGTAAGGGGTGGGTTAAGGCTTAACAACGAACCCAAGAGAGAGAAAAGAGGAATTAATCTACCAAACACAACAGAGAAGCAAAACGTCTTGGACTAAAATCCACAATGAAGAGCTTCTGTAGCACAACAGCAACTCTGAAGTCTACCATTGTTTTTAAGTGCATGCAGGTTAAAGGAGAGGGGAGTCTGTTTCTTATGTGCAAACATGCCAGTTTGAAATAATAATGGTTTCCAAACAGAGCCGCTCTAAAGAAAGACTTCAAACCTTCACTCTGTTGGAACAGGTTTGATTAAATACTGTTTTTGCTGCCACTTGGTCTGGGCAGGATCCCTTAAGGCCAATTTATGTCTCTGACGCATAGCCTCTGCAACCGTCAAACCTGTCTCTGTGGGAAACCACGCCCCCCGCACAGAGGTTCTGCAACCGTTGTTGCACACCTCAAAAAAATCCTGACTATGCATTGGGCGGTCACGAACCCACGCAAACCTTAAGCGGCAGTGCGCAGACAAAAAGCAGCTGTGATTGATCCTTGGTACGCTGTCTGTGTGGTCGTCCTTCTCGATTCGGTGCCGGGGCACTCCATTTTTAAAAACCGAGGAACAACAACAATGGACAACCTACGCGTCCTCCCTTGTCTTTTTGCAGACTCCATTAACAGAACCTGTTCCTCTTTGATGTCTAGCAACACTAAATCGATCTCTGTGACCGTGATATCTTGCAGACGCACCATTCATTGTTGTTTTGGAAGATAAACACTCCTGCCAGCGCCGCTGAAGTTCTCATGACCATCCTTTGAAGTTCTCGAATAGGCTCCCCTTGCGCTTTGGCGGAAAACTGCTGTGCATCCCTAGAAATTCCAGATCAACGGGGCAGAAGCATGCCAGCAAAACTGAATCGCAACCAGACCCAAGCGACATTTTTTGATGTGTGCGGTTGTAGAAGTATAATCTGCCCTTTATCCGACAAAGACATTGGTTTGGTGGGCTACATCCAAACCCAACTTCATCTGGAAGTGGCTGTGGTTTCTTTTGCTTTATTGCATTAGTGGTAATGGAGTGGAATTAATCGCCTTTTGTTTAGTAAAGTGCCTTGAGATGAGATTTGCTGGGAACTGGCACAAACTAAACTGAATTAGGAAGGAATTTACTGGTTTGACAAATTTTTCTAAAGACTAAACAGATCATGCTAAAAATCTAAAAACATGGGCAGAGCTCAAAGATAATGGACAGTTGTTGCCCTGTGTGAAAATAAAATAAAAGCAGATATCAGGCTAGACATCTCAGTCATTCCATGTGTCTGTTTAGAATAATACAATAAAACTAAGAGTGTGTGATTCAAAGTGTTCTGCTGGATCAGGACAGGGTTCTTTATCAAAGGGAATGCCTCATTGTCTTTTTTATTTTCTCACATATAAAGATCAACTGATGTCAGTTATCGTTCAGGTTCAATGTTGTATGGGCGATCAGATAATCCATATCCAAATTAATCAAAAAATACAGAAACCCATCTGTACTGTTATTAGATCCAGGAATATATTTGGAGAAGGGTACATTTTAATTCACAAAACAAAGCTTTAAAGGTGCTTTGTGAGCTCAACTAATCTTTTAATTTGGTCATTCTTGAGACATTTAAACCAGTTTTCTCAGTTCTGAGACAGTGGAACACAAATGTGGTATTCTGCATGTTAAATGCTGTAGTCTTGTTTTCCTATGACATGTCTTCCTCTTATTGACACATAAACTATGTATCTGAAAAAACAAATATTCATCCAAATTATAAGATCCATAGATTGGCAAATCTTAGTTGTTTTGGACACATCCAGTGCCCTAACATCCCATAAAGCAGATGTACTCAGGAGATTTTTGCACATCAGTGATGCTTCTGTGAAATTCTGCCAACATCCAGTCAGCAGACGGGGATGAAAACCTGGACATGTGCTGGGTCAACATAAAGCGTGAATTTCTAAACCTCTTACATCATTGCTTTGAGAGTTTATGCAACCAGAAATGAACTTCTGCTGCACAGCAGAACAGTCCCAGCAGCTCCCCCCCCCTGAGGAACAATAAGCCCAGTCAGCCTTTACTATAATTACAAAGGAAGGAGATAAATGTCTTTTATAAACTAAAAAGGGACCAGCTTTAGCCCTGTTAGCCTTTGCATTTAAATGACTCATTAAAAGATGGACTCACTGCGAGTAGTGGTGGACGGACGCGGCCAGGGCATTGCCAGAGCCACCTGGTAGGATACCTAAAGGAGTCTGGATGGCTTGCTGCCAATCTTCACGCTCCATCAAACCATTTATCACCTGAGAAAACAGGAAAAAAACGACAAAAATATGAGCTTTGGTTCCAAACTAAGACGTTTTTCTTATCTGGTAGTATTACATTTCCAGGGTGACCAGATGGTACTACGGCTGAGGACAAAAATAATTTCTGGATGACTGCAGTGGGTTTTTTTAAGCAGCAACCCCACCACCTGATCTCCTTTATTATGTTCGATAAATTAAAATTTAATATCCCTATTCCAATAATGGCTGAAAATAGAAACCTGAGTTATAAGGCTGATCCAAGACCCACTGATAATGAATCTTTAGCATTAATGTGCAGAAAAGTGCTGTACCTCAAACAGCAGCCCGTCACCAGACATGATAACCAGTGCGTCCCACTGCGACAGGTCAGCCTTCCTCACCAGCTCTCTTGCGTGGTTCTGGTGCTCTAATAAAGAGAAGAAATGTTAAAGTAAACTGCAAGACAAAGCAGAAAACCCAGCAGAATGTAGGACAAGGTGACAAAGTGATGATAAAAATGGGTAAAAGGCAGAGAAAAAGACATGTTCCTGTCATTGCTGCAGGCTCTGGAGGGGGGATCAGGGAGATTAGGCAGAAAAGGGATTCAATTTCCTCTTATTGGAGCAGACATATCACATTAGCTCATCCAGAGGCTACTCAGCGGCTCCCAGCCAGCTTAGCCAGCCTGCAAACATCTGTGACAGAGCGAGTGGGGAGCATGTGGTCGCATTTTGTTAAATGTGCTGGTAAAGAAGTTGACTATTTGTTCAGCCTAGTTTTGTTGGCTGTGTCCTTGAGCTGGTCCCTGCACTGAAGGTCTCTGTGGGCTCATCCTGCCAGCATTAAAATCTAGCCCTGCCAGACGAGACTCCCCTGTGTAGTCGCGTGTGGAAAATAGAAACAGCTTTAGAGAGGAAGGGACGGCCGACACGCAGCTGAGAGGCACGGATGTGCAGCCACTATGATGGAAAATATTCCTCCTGAAGTATTGATCAACACTCTTCTTTTACTTTCCCAGCCTCTACATGGCCCCCAGACCTTCATACTCCTATGCTGGCTGCGAGCTGGACGCACTACTGCTGGTGATGCAGGGCTGTGTTGACAGGAGTAACTGCACTGCACAGCTGACTCAACATTTCTGACCTGCAAGAGTGATGGTTTACTTCTCAGATTCTTATTTATTGAAAAGGTCAATAGAAAACCAAACATAAAGTCTGTGTAAAGTAAAAGATCTTATTTTGATTTTTTTTTTTATAGGTTTTTAATCATATTTACAAAAATCTTCTGGTCAGATTTTAAAACTAGAAAAAGAAAGAAAGTTGTTTTTTAAATGAAGAAATCTCTCCCCACTGAAAAGTATATCCATGTACTGGTAAATATATGTAAGTTTAAGGCCTTTATTTGCATGAATCACTGCATCCATACAAGTTGGAAATCAGCCTCTAGCTCTGCTGATATATAATAAAAGCCCAGGTTGCTTTGAAAGCAGGCCTCCATGCTTCTAGATTCAACCCAGTCTCTTGGGAAAATGTACATCGACTACGTTGGTCCACACTGCAAAACGTAGTGGAGGTACATTAATGGCCATTTTTTTGTGGTACTGTTACATTTCTTTTGCAGTGTGGACCAACGTACATTTTCCCATGAGACTGGGTTGCTAGATTGCATGCCTGTGTCCTGTCAGATCAGCATACCCCTTCAAACCAGCATGCCTTTAGTAAATACCCATTTATCCCTCTAGATTTGTACGAAAAATATACTTTAAACTCAACAGGCATGTATCCCTTTAGTCATGTACAAAAAAACTAATTTATTACTTCCTTTTCGGTGCTTTTTTAATATAGCTATCTGATCTTTAATTGTTTTTTTTTGTACAGTACTAAAGGGGTACAACGGTAGTTTAAAGAGCATTTTTCGTTCAAAACTAAAGCGCTAAACGGGACTAGCATACCCGTAGGCAAATCTGACATCGTTGTCCGGCTGATATTCTTTTTTATTTTGTTGGTATTGGTCGATAAATGCTTTGTAGCTTCATTCATGCATTTAGCAGCCATGCCTAGAGATTAGGTGAAGCGTACGCATTGCAGCTCCTTCCATTTTCTATTCATTGTAGGGCTGCAAATAATGATTATTTTGCAAATCCATTAATCTGTCCATTCTTTTTTTGATTAATTGATCTATAATTGGATAGACAAATGTTCCTAAAAGAAGACTTTTTACAAAATTAAACCAGGTAAACTAAAACTTTTCCACTTGAGGAATTCTGGATAGAGCATATTGATGGACGAAAATGTTTTTTTTATTCTTAACTGCAAAATGTTTATTTATTTATTTTTTTTACAATTTTGGTAAAGTTACTGCTTTAAGTGGGTCACTCTGTCAGGTAAAGGCATGTATTACAGTCTCTATACTCCAGTTAATGATTAATCAATTACTAAATTAGTTGACAAATATTTTGCTAATTGATTAATCATGGTTCATTTGATTAATTGTTTCAGCTCCGATCCATTTTTAATGTTTTGTTTTAAATTTGTTAATAAATGTTTCTCTTTTTGATCACAATAAGACTTCTGCAGCAGTTGTATCCTTCTGATTTCTATCATGTAAATAGAGGAAAACAAACCAATACTGGCCTGAAATATCAGCAGCACACATCCAGGGATCCGTTAGACCGATGAAAAGATAATCGGCATTGGAATCAGCCTTATAAACTGCATCCATTCATTTTTACTTTAAATCATTGCAATATGTGAAGGTCTCCTACTGGGCTTCACAGAACTTGGATTATCTGCTTCTCTGCTCTTTCTTTGCACTCTGGTACCTTGATTCCTAAATAAAAACCTAGATTAACTTCTATATGAAATAGGACATTAAGCCACAGAGCAACAGTCATGACTTTTTCCTTCCTTGCCAAGCTATGATGCATCGGACTTTTCCTCTTGTTCTGAACTGGCTTAACAAAAGGCACGACATGGCAACGGTCCATATTCTGGTTAAACCAGTGTGACACCAGCAGAAGTCCACACCTTGTGAAATTTGACTAAAACTCTGAAATGAACATTAAGTAACAATCCTCTCAAGCTTCCTGGCGGGCCTCTTTCAGCCATGATATCTGCAATAGATACACACTTCTGTTACATTTTATATAGTTGTACCTTTAAAGATACGTTTGGCCATAGGATTATGTGTGTTTTAAACTGATTTTATAAAATGAATATACTTTCCCATAATAATCTAATTTACTGAGATGGACCTGCCTTTAACTCTTTAGTTGTCATTTCTACAATTTAAAAGTCTTTCTGCAGAATCCAACACGTATTTTAAACTTCTGGCAAGTTTTTCAAGTGCTGGCGGCTGGCCGATAGAGGGCGCCGCCCCACACCCAATGACCCTGATTAAGACATAAAAAAAAAAAATATTATTATTATTTATAATTTATTTTTAAATTAAAATGTTAAATATTTTGAAATATATCTATATATAGTTTTTTGATGTGTAAGATAAATATTTAATCTTTAATGACTAGTGAAGCGTAATTCCATTTTTCGTCGGATTGGTGACTTATTTCAGCCCTTGGGCGCAAAAATCTTTGCCCATTGACTCTCGTTAAACGTTGTGTCACAAACTTATCCATTCCGGAAGCACGATCCGTTCTGCGCATACGCAATCAGCTCATTTGCGCATGCGCATCCAGATATACATTCGGGTCGCCCTAGATTTTATTTTGTAAAAAGACCTCCCCAAAAATAGTAAGCGTAGTAAAATCTAATGTGTTAAAGGTTAATAATGTATTTCCTGAGAGAATAAATGCTTTGAAATCCTTTCTGTTTTATCAGTGGTCTCTGCTCGATCAGCAACGGAAATGGGATCCTACGCTACTTCCAGCGGCTAACTTTTTCAGCTTTGGATTTAAACATAAATCTAGTCTTTTTTTAACTTTCTATTTTCGTTTCGTTTTAACCTTATGTTATATAGTGAGTATTCTAAAGAAAGAAAAAACTAAAACGCGGATAAACATGGTTTAATCATATTTTGCTGGATTCCTCTGAGCATGTCTGATGAAGACGTCAGAGAATCAGTTTAACGAAGAAAATGGAAAAAGCATAAAAATTGTCTCACAAAAGTCATAAAACATTTTTTAAAGATGTGTATTAGCATTATTTAGTGAGTTAAGGATAAAAATAAGTAGTTTTAGTACTAGGGCTGGGAATTTTAGCCAAAGTCCTGAATCGATTCGATTTTGATTCATACAGTTCTAAATCGATTCATTTCGATTCGATCTGTTTTTACAATAATGAAAGTGGTTCAACTGTGTTTCAAAATACTCATGCATATAGTTTTTTTCCTGTCATACTAAACTTAAAGTGCAAACTTGTAAATCAGACAGTTTAAACTTGAGGTGTGAACAAAACTGTCTCAAACGTGCAAACTTGTTTGTGAAAAGTGAAAAGGTGAAGCCTTAATCGAGCGAGCAGACGTGACTCAGCAGACATGCATGAACTGCATTAACTTCACTGCACAAACCATATTTGCAGCATTGTCTGTAACAACTACAGGGTGTTTTCTGGTCAGCCTATTTGTTAATGTCTTCAGTCAACCTATTAGCTATATTTGCAGCTATCAGGCTTTAGGTCATCTTGAATGCATCTTTCCTGCTCATTTGAATGTGAACGTCACACGCGTCACTATAAAACTAATCGATCTCATTCCCTAGACATCGATTTTGCAAAAATGTAAAGGAATCGAATAAATAGATTATTTTACCCAGCCCCATTTAGTACCATAATTACATTATTTATGGAAACCCGCATGTAACTGTTCTCGCATGCGCAGGACGGATTGTGCTTCTGGGACGGATCAGGTAGTTATTAGTTATTAGCACAAAGGCTTGGCTAACAGCATGTTGCTTTATTCTGCTTTCCCTGCCTCCTTATTCAAACGTCAGGATCTGACCCAGCATGGGTAAAGAAAGGTAGAACCGATTTAAGAAAAGGCAAAGAAGAAAGAACAATCTGGAATTCACATGGAAAATAATATAATATTGTGTATTTTTGCTAGATGTGTGTTAGTTTGCATAGTTCCCGGTAAAGTTCCTGGTAAATAAACTCATTCTCAACACGTTTTCATATATTAAAAAAAGTATAAAGCTGACCAATAGCTTCTCCATTATTAAAGTAGCATATTGTTTTTTTTTAGGTTTGTGACACAATATTGGACCATGCAAAACAAAGATTTGCCTTCACAAAGCCTCAGAAAGGCAAGATTTAAGTTCAAAAGTTAAGCCTATGCATGAAATCATGTTTTTTTTATGAAGTGTTTTCATAAAGTTTTTGTTGTTGGCATTCATATAAATATACTGGTATAATAACTTAGTATACATTTGATTTTTTTTTTTGTATACGTCTATTTTGAATTTATAGCCCCCCCTGGAGAAACTCCACCAGCCACCACTGCTTTCAAGCAAGTCATTCTTCTCTGGCCCAACTTTACTATTAAAGTCTCTGTTGAAGAAATTCTTGTTTTCATCACTTTTAAAACATATAATGAAATCTGAAGGCAAAGGAAGCTCATGGTTGTGCTTTTCACATTACAGTTTTTGTCCTGTCTGTCTAATCTTTCACAAGTAGCAAGAACTGAGTTTGATAAACAAAGGATAAAAAAAAAAAAAAAATCTGGGTCAAATTCTGTTCTTTTCTTTTTAAAAGCTGCAATTTGCTATAGATGCTACTGTCTTCTGCTTTACATGAGGTAAATCAAGGCAAAGACTTAAAGTGCTGGACTTGTGAAAGTGCAGGTTAACATGACACAGGCCTCCTGTCCATCCTGAGGCAAAAGCAGTTTGATACGCTCATCAAAAAGGCTTCCACTGACTAAAAGGGACTAAGATGAGTTCTCACAATTAATGCTGACACCCAGGACTCTGGAGCACCAGTGTCCTGTAATACCCCCCTTGCTTTGTGTCCATCTATGTTCCTGTTCGTCAGCCTCAGTAATTAGGCTCATTGCTGACCCTCCTTCAGGTCCCAGGAGCCCATTAAGTATGTGTGAGCATGCCAGCGTGCTTCTTCAAAGAGAAGAAAACCACACAAGCAGAGTTTCTGCTCCATCGCTCTGCTGCCTTCGCTGTCATAATCCGTCTCACGTCGAGCTGCAGGAGAGATCCAGCTGCATAATGCCGAGCTGATTCAAAAAGAGACGGTATTTTCAAACCTATGAACTGTTGGTCGTCCCTACCAAAGGTAAGTTTGTACGGCAATACCTACCAATTTTTCAAATTACAACTACAATAAGATAGATCATCAGCAAGTGGTGAATAATTGTAAGGTGGAAAGAAACTAAGACTTTTGTGTTTTTTTTCTTGGAAGAAAATGTTTGCCATGGATTTGTATTTTGCTCCATTTTTAATTTGACAAACATAGATATAACCTGACCATAAGTAATGACTGTCAGAAATTACCTACTCAGCAAATAAAGGCCACTCAATACAAATATGGCTGATCTGGGAAGACCTCAGATGTTTGCAAGATATTGTGGTAACAAACAGCCTAAGGAAAACCAAAGAAGACAGCAGACAGATGAAGGGCAAAACTGTGGAGGGTTTAAAAGAAAACCTCAACATTAAAACCTCTCAGAGAGTGCAACTGCAAACCTACTAAGCCGTCCATCTAAAGTACATTAATCAGAGAAACCATCAAGAAGTCAATGGCAACTTTAGGTGAGCTCCAGAAAGTCAGAGTTCAGGTGGGAGACTCTGTCAACAGGACAAACATTAGTTATGAGTTCCACAAATCCTGCTTTTGCAAAAACATGGCAATACGGAAATTTATTATTGAGAGAAAATCCAGAAAATGTCTATTTGGATTTTACCA